AATGAGGGTAGTGAATTAGATGGACTCTGAGCTCCTGAGGAAGCTGATGCCATTCAAAGCAGAACAAGTTCCCAGGCAGAGTTTGAAGATGAGCAGATTTAGTGGGGAGTGTGTGGCCTAGAGATAACACTTATTCTTCACCTGGAAAATGAGGGGGCCTGCTAAAATCATCTCTTCAGGACTCTTCTAGTTCTGAAGTGCAACAATCCTGAGAATCTGCGGAAGTGCAACTGGGTTATAAAGGAAACCAATTATACTGAAATAAAGATGGACTTTTTTCCCACTTAGAAATCTATGCATAGACCCTTTGTGGGCCTAGAACTCAGGTTAAGAGCTTCTGCATATGAGAAATGAAAAGCCAGGCCTATTAACTTTATAAATAAAAAGGTTTACAAATGGAAAGTTCTATTTAAGGGGCCTGTCAACTCACTCCATTTATGAATTTTGTTTTTAACATGGCCACAAGTGAAGGAAAGGCAAAAGGCCCTATTTCTTCATCTTGATCAGAGCCAGTGGATAAAAAGCCAGAATAAAGGAGGAGAGTGCCAACTCGAATTCCTACCCATACATCTGAATAATATGCGGCTCCGAGTGACAAAACCAGATATGAAAGGACAACTAGCACTTCTCCCTATGAAGTAAGACTCAATAGGTATGCCTTGCAAAATGATGCAAAAAACATTAATTTGATATAGAACACTGCCAGATTTTATTATATTTGACATTTAAAACAGATGGTAACACCATGAAGGGAAGAAATACTTATGATTATTCAAAAACAAAACATGAGTAACTTCAATAAAACAGTCCAACTAGTCCTTTCAGACAACCCCCCACGAATTTTCAATTCTATGTAATAAGATTAATGCATGCAACATAAACATTTAAATGTTTCAGCTGATTAAAATTTCAGATTTTTTAAAATTTATAGTTTTTAATATATGAAGATAAATATTGGTAAGTTAAATTATTTGGAAACCACTTACTGGTTTTTCTCTTTACTTGCTAAAGCACCCCAGTATCTCCCTTTCATAATTTAATACCTAAATTAAGTTTCAGAATTTAGGACTTGGAAGGACCATTACTTACAGGTTTAGAATTCTGGCTCGCTCAGCTCATTTAAAAAGAACAGAAAAAGCATAGAAAAAGAATCATTTAATAAAAGATTAAAGCTTTAAGTATTCCATTAACATTTTACAAAAGAAAAAATGTAGAATTAATGGAATTCCAATGATTAAAGTCAAATAAAAACATACATAAATATCATTGATAGAGCCTTTTCTTTCAACTCCAAGACTGGGAGAAAAGAAATCCAAGAGTCTTGGGTTCCGTATCTTTCCTTTAAGGCTCTCTCAAAAGCATTTTATTGGCTTGAGCAACCTTCAAGACACTGTTTCAACCCCAAACCTTCACTTCTCACTCCCCTCTCCCCTAGTTCTATCACTGACTCAAGAGACAATGGTCAACGTAATAACTATTCTTTCTATATTTTCTAATCACTATTTGAGACATTATCTGACTGTACTAATTTTTAAAGTTTAGAGTATTGATTGAATTTCCTTTCTGGAAAGAACAGAGTTAAAACTTTCCTCTGATGGTCACTATCTAGGTGACCTTGGGCAAATTACTTAACCTTCTTTGGCCTCAATGTCCTCATCTGTAAAATGACTGCACTGGCTTAATGACCTCAAAGGTCCTTTCCAATTCAATATCTCTGATCCCCTGATACTCCATTTATTACCAGATATATATTACTCTGGTACAGCTATGTGGTGCAGTGGATAAAGCACTAGGCCTGTTGGGTCAGGAGTTCGAATCTAGCCTCAGACACTAGCTGAGTGACCCTGGGCAATAATCTAATGCTGTTTGCCTCAGTTTCCTCCTCTGTAAAATGAGCTGGAGAAGGAATTGGCAAACCAGTCCAATATCTTTGCCAGAAAAATCCCAAATAGGGTCACAAAGAGTTGGACATGACTGAAAAATGACTCAATAACAACATATGTTACTCTGAACCTATTTCTTGTCAGTTTACCACAACAACTAATGATTCTGAAGTATTTTTTATTGAAATGAGCATTACCTTAGGTAAAATGATTTATGTTGTAAAAATTATTTGTGCACAAAACATTAACTGTATATCTAGAAGCCACAAAAGTCCCAAACTTTGCTCCTATGAGTTTCTCTTTATTGATATGGCTGACTGTACAGCATACTAATTTTTTTTTTTAATTTCACGTCATTGTTCTCTCAGCCATCTACAGAGTCATGTGATTTTGGCTGGCCCAAAAAAACAATTATTACAATATTTATTACCCAGAAAGTTTTCTCTCTTCAATTTGATGATAATGGGGGTGAGTGAGATGGTGGTGCTAATAGCTGAAAAATTCAAATAAATACACAAAGCACAATTTTTTTTCATTGAAAAATTAGTTGAATGATAAAAGTGTTGTTTTTTTTTTTATTTTGGCAAAGTATCCAAATGTTGTTTAGCTGAATATCAAACTGTGTGAAAGGTGGTGTGGCACGGTAGATAGAGATGAGAACTGGAGTGAGAAAGAACTGAGTCTGAATTTTGCATCAAAAATTTACTACCTTTGTGACCCTGAGCAAATCATCACAGTCTCAGTTAACTCATTTACAAAACAAAGATAATAATAGTACATAAAGGTTTGTTTTGTGAAGATTATGAGAGATAATAAATGCAAAAGCACTTTGCAAATCTTAAAGTTCTCTATAAATGTGAGCAACTATAATAATAATGACTATTAAAGTAACTAAAAACACTTCCATCAGCACACAAAAAAAATGTAACTATCTTCAATATATCAAAATTGATCCTCACATAATTACATAGATTTTCCAAAGGGGAAGCAAGTTAAGAAGTACAATTATAGCCCCCAATACCCCCGATTGGTTGCTTCACTCCTATGGGATGCTTTAGTTGTGGGTAGGCAAAACTGTTTGCAACACCTTTCTCTGTTCTTGAAAGACCAGTTTCTGGTCAGCTGGTTTTGATTCTGTTGGGAGGAAACTGAATCCTGGGGTATACTGCCAAATTATGTGCTTTATACACAGGCAGAACGACTGAGCTTTAGGAATTTAACATTACATTAAGACTTCTGGGATGCATTTCCCTGGGCAGGAGTAAGATGGAGAAAAAAGGAAAAAATCTAATGTGCAGGGAGGCCACGTAGAAATCATTTTGAAATAAATTGGTGAGGAGAGCCTTGAAGTGCAGAGGTTCTACACATGGATAGAACGAAAGGGGAATGTAGCTAGCATGATAATGGATCGTTCAATCAGGACTGGATCAACTAAAATAGAAAGCAACGGTACCATCCTGGGGGACAGGCACATGGCCTACATCCGTGAGGACAAGCCCTCTACCAGAGCAGGTGAGTTCTCTGCAACCCGGGACTTGGAGGGCTGCTCAGAGCAGTCAGTGAAGCTGTGGGCTGCATACTGACTTAGAAAACCACAGAGTAACATTATCTATATTGTATTGTATTTTTATTTTATTTAAAAAAAACCTACCCAATTATATTTTAATTTGGTTTCTGCAGGGACTTGCAGCAAGAGAGTTTGATACCTCTGGCCTAGAGGACTGACAGTCTTAGAACCAGTCACAAAACTAGGATGTGTCAGAATTGGAACTTGAACCCAGATCTCTTCTTCAGAGGCCCGCTCTCTATTCACCACGTACTCTGTCTACTTTCCTGAAGCAGGTAGGTGACGCATAGAACAGAACACTGGGTCTGGAGTTGGGAATACTTGAGTTCAAATCCAGCCACAGACGTTTACTAGCTGTGTGACTCTGGGCAAGTCACTTAACCTCTGCATGCCTCAATTTCCTTAATTTTAAAATGGGTTTAATATCAGAACCTACCTTGCAGAGTTGTTGTGAAGATCAAATAAGATAATAACTATAAAGTGTTTAGCACATCACAGTACTATATAAATGCTTGTTCTCTTCTTTAGCCCTTCCCCCTATGCCATGGCTATTTCACATGATCTCTTTTTCATGCTAACAGAATCAGAAGATGAGAGTGTCCAAGTCCTTTATTTGAGAAAGGCAGTGACTTGCCAGGGCTTCCTGACTCGAAGGTGAGGTCTCTAGATTCACAACACCAGCACTGCCTCTCTGGTACCATGCCATCAAACTGAATTGAAAGCATGTACCCCTAGCCTGAAAGCAGCAACCCCCCCCATTTTTTGGGGGGGAGGGGGCTTTTCTCTCTGTCTCCATCCTTTTCCCCAGTGCTTGGTAAACAGCAGGTACTTAATGAAAGCTTATTGACTCAACATCCTATAAACAATTTCTACACTATAAAAAAAACCCAGAAAGTGACATATATTTGCCAATTTCAATCATGATACTTAGCAGGTTTTGCTTAACTGTCTTAGGGGAATAGATTCTTTAGGGTAAGGTAATATGGTCCAAAACAAAACAAAACAAACATACCCATTAAAAAGGGTTAAAAACAAAATAAACCAAAACAACCTATATAAAATTATTCGTAGGATTTTGAGCTGGAAGAGACCCCAGAGATCGAGTCTAGCCTCTCAGTTTACCAATGGAAAAACTGAGGTCTGTAGAGGTTAAGGGACAATTGCTGAGTCACAAAATTATTAAGGAACTACTGGGATCTGGAGCCAGACCAGCAAGTTCCATATCCACTGGTGTTTCCACACCACCACACTCTGCTTCTGCTCGCCGTGCTACGTGAGTCACAGATTAAAACAGATGTTAATTGCCTCAGTCTCAGACAAACAACGCTCATGAGATCAGACGAAGAGATCCCATTGCCAAAATTCAAACCCAAACTCCCTGACTTGTACAGTACTGTTCTTCAAATATATCTCACTGCCTCGCACATATCTGAAGAGTCCCGGTCAACCCATGAGATGAGTAAAATGTACAGCTGTCAGCACACATTTCAAAAGAACACAAGAGACAAAGTGTGGGCAGAACGGAACAGCTTGACAAACACACAGCTCACCTTCACGAGGAAAAAGGAGACACCGTATGTCCGGAGAGAACGCGCGAGTTTGACGTATTTCACCTTGGCTTCTATTTCTGACATCTCACCACAGTTCTTGTGCTCCTGCAAGAGTACAAGATCCCGGGGGAAAGTTACTGCATTCTACCATTAGGTAATCACTTGAGCAATCTCTATGGCACATTAGGAAAATGTACACATGAGATCCAATTCAGGGCAATTTCATCAAGAAAACAGAGGGGCTACGAGGACAGAGGACATGGATATTTCTACACTGAATTTCTCACTGGGACAGTTTGCTCCTCCTCAGACAGCATGGCATTCTCTGCTTCTGGGGGCTCATTACTGGTGCCATACTTAGTATGGACACCCAAATGGCTTTTGCCTTACTGAAGCTTAGAACTGCTCAACTCAAGTGATCCACCAGCCTTAGCCTCCCCAGCAGGTGGATCTACAGGCACGCACCAACTGCGCCAGGCCTTAAGGTACAAGAATGACTGAAATAAAAATGGTTGGCGTTGAGCATGGAGTTATATTTTTAAGAAACCTGGCACCAACAGGAGGTGTGAAAATGGTATGTTTCCTGACATTTTACATGCTTGGAATCCAAAACTAAAAACGATATCTAGATAGGACTCTTGGAATGAACATTTCAAAGCAAAGGTAATTCTTAAGCTCCCAACAGTCCCCTTTGAAGAGATTCATTTGTGGAACCTAGGAAATGAATTAAACTTTGACTTTTAAAATACACCTCTAGAATAGGGGCTAGTGATAGGAAATTGACCTGTGACATCACCGATGGATATAGGGAACACTCAGGTCAGAATATGCCTCTACCAATATAGGCCAGTATCTTCGCTGCAACTTAGAGGCTTAGTGAGCTGACTACTATGAACAGAAGTTAAGTGACTTGCTGAGGGTCATGCAGCCATTATGTGTCAAAGGCAGGTCTTTATGGCTTCAACTGGCTCCCTATAAACTATGACATGATCATTCTCCAAAATAAGGCTCCTGAATAGGGTGTCAGCCAAAAGCAAATCAGTATGAAGAAGTGACAGAAAAAATATCTTCTGCTGCACTGTGACTGCATGGTATCTGCTGGCTACTACTGAGAAGCTGTCTAAAAATTAGGTATGAGTATATTTGTCTGAGACTGAGGAACCTTCAATTAAAATCTACAGATTAGGAAAATATATACAGTATATCTAAAAAAGAACTGACAGCTTCTTTACTCTTGAGTTATTGATAATTAATGACATAAATTAGTTTCTTTTCTTTTGAGTGAATGATAATGACATAAATTAGCTTCTTTACTTTTCAGTTAATGGTAATTTATGACATAAATGGAGGGGATGCATAGAGTACAAAGTCAGGATGATGACAAAACCCTCTCAAATAAGAAAAACAGAGAAAGGTATTTAGAGTAGAATATTAAGATAACTACATTTTCAGTACCTGAAATATTCTCTTTTCAGCTCCTCTTTGTTTAATGTATTCTTTGGGAAGAAATTCCTTTAGACTGAGGGAGAGAAAAAGGTAAATCATTTAATATGTTGTGATGAAGACAATAAAAGAGAAAAGGAACCATTCATAAAATTTCGAAGTCAAGGCCCTACCCCAATTCCATGTGTTCTCAAACAGTCTTGGTTCAATTCAATTTAAAAAACAAACAAATGTTAATTAATTAATTAAGCATGTACTGTGTGCCAGGGAATGTACCAGGTAATTGGTATGCAAAGTTGAAAACAATTCATATTTCAAAGAGCTTATATAAAAAAGGATGGAGAAGTGGGGAGAAGATAAGATAAGACATACACACAAGTAAATAGGATACAAGTTAGAATGGAAAAATAACAGAAACAAATGGTCTAAGAAAGTCTGAAGAGAGATGAATTTTAGCAGGGCACAGGAACGGGCAGGGGTGGAGTTGGGGGAGTCAAGAAAGGCTTCATGGAAGAGGGGCCGACGAACTCGTCCTTCAAGGAAAACAAGGATTTCAACAGGTGAAATAAGCAAATAGATATGGTCAGATCTCTGAACTAGGAAGGCTATGTTAAATACCTACATAAAAGATGGATTAGAGAAAACAGAGTAGAGGGAGGGAGGCCTGTTAGGAGGCTTTTACATAATATTCTACACAACATTTAATGAGTTTGGTGATGTGAGTGGAGAGGACGGAAAGAATATAAATAAAACTGTGATTCATTTAATAGTCAGCCACAGCATATAATGCCCTCGAACTAAGTCACAAATTCAAAAAAGACAAAACTAAAACAAAACAAAAAAAACTACCTGAAAGTCAGACCACACTCAACATCAACAACAAAAAAACAAATAAACAAAAAACTTCTTGAATCCATTAAGACAAATATAAATGCTTCCTTACACTTCACTCCTTTTTGTAGACAAGAGGTAAATAAATTGGTTCTTTCCTGGGGCTTTCAGACTTCCCACTTGCAAGCAACACAGCACTCCAACCACATGAAAAAAATATCAAATTCGAACCAAAGATGAACCCTAGGAAAGCCTAAAAAGCCTAAACTTACAGAAGAGCCACACTTCAGAAGTGTTTGCTATGCTTTGGTGACATAACAAGTTACATTCCTAGAGGGCATTAAGGTTTACAAAGAACACTTCACTGGGGAAAGTTGTTCAGCGTTTGAAACCAAATGTGAATCAATGCTCTGAATAGCGCTTCTGACTTTTGAGAAAAGAGATCTGGCAAAGTTTACTGTTATTATTCCCATTTATAGATAGGGGAAATGAGGCTTCAGTTAAGTTCTCCCTATGCACATAGCCTCTAACTTAGTTCAGGCCCTCATCATCTCTTATGAGGATGACTGCAATAGTCTCCTAAGTCACACGTATTTTCACTTTCCATCCATCTTCCACATAGCTGCCATATTGATATTCTCGAACTACACATCACTATCTCTGTTCATAGATGTTCAATACCTCATAGGATAAAATTCACAATCGTTAGCCTGGCATTAAAAACCTACCTACCTTTCCAATCGTTTCCCATTATTTTTCATTCCAGTCAAACTAGCTTCTAACTATTTCTTGTACTATTCCTTCCATTCTATCTCCTACTACCCCTTAGGTTTTGCACAATTGTTCTCCAAAGTTTGAAATGCACTCTCTCCTCCCTCCACATTAGAATTCATAGCTTCCTTCCATTTCCTCTTCTCTCCCACCAAGCCTCCCCCATTATTACTCCTCATTTTCTCTTGGAATTATTTTGTATTGCTTTATCTAGCCTTTGCATTTACTTGTGACCTTGCTGTGTCCTCCCCATATAGGCTCCTTGAAAGAATAAACTTGTGTTTTTGTGCTTGTACACCCCAACCCTGACACAGTGCTTTACATAATAGCTACTGAATGCTTACTGAATGGAACTCAATACAGTCTGACACTGGATCTCTCATAAGCTCTCATTCCAGACAGTACACTTCCATTGTTTAATTCAGGCTTAGGGCACAAGTTTTCTGATGATCCTAACTGCTCATTTTTGGGCCCTGAGATGGCTTCTCTTATCCTTTTCATCCTTAAATATTGGTTTTTCCCCCTCTCATCCTCCAAGGCCTTTTCTTGGTCTTCTATTAGTCTCCTCTATAACTTCTCTCTTTTGGAAATCACAGTCATTCTGAAGACTTCATCTGTTGTTCTGTCTACATAGCTAACTGCCAATTTTATCCCCAACTCTGATCTGTACTCCTAGTTACAAACTCACAATTCCAATTTCCTTGCGGACAATGGATAAAACCACCTGAGTGTCCCACAGGCAACTCAAACCCAAGATGACAAAGAGGTAACTTCTGATTTTTCTCCCTAAAGCTGTTTCTCCTTCTAACCTCCCTATTTCTGCTGATGATTTCACCATGCAGGTAGTATCTTCTATCATTCATAGGTGACACCTTTGACTCATTCCTCTCAATCATTTACCACATCCAAGTTAAAAAGAAGTAAAACAAGGCAAGTCCTGTTGAGTCTCTATCTCTAATATCTATGACATCCTTCCTGCTTCCCCTGCTACCACTCTAACATGTGCCCTTTTTTTTTTGGGGGGGGGAGGTGCTGGGCAATGGGGTTAAGTAACTTGCCCAGGGTCACACAGCTAGTAAGTGTCAAGCGTCTGAGGCCAGATTTTGAACTCAGGTCCTTCTGACTCCAGGGCTGGTGATCTATCCACTGCGCCACTTAGCTGCCCCATCGCTGGCCCTTCTTGCAATAAGCTTAAATTATTAGAATAGCCTATTAAGTGGTATTATCGTTGTATTTTGTAGCAGCTTTATTTGGGAAGTGTCTACTATGTCAAAACAAAATGTTTTTAATAAGTGAACTTACCCTGTAGTATCATGTGTTATAATTGTGTTAGTGGCTTATTTCCCTAATGGATGGTAAGATCTATGCTAATAGGAACGGAGTCTTAACAATTTTTTAATATATGCTCCCAATGCCTAATACAGGGCTGAGCATAAAACAGAAGTTTGTTCAATGAATGAGTAAATAAAATAGCCCCAAGTGTTTTTAAGGAATATGTTACTGATGCTTTAAATTATAGGTTCATTGATTTAGTGCTGGAAGGGACCTTAAAAGGTCATCTACACCAGCACTTCTTAAGCTATGGGTCGTGTAACTGAATGTGGGGGTCACGAAAAATCTGGGAACAGTAAAAGGTTTCTGCATACCTATCTTATTGATTTATTTACTTGTTTACTTATTTACTTACTTATTTGTTTGTTTGTTTGTTTATTGGCAATGGGATTAAGTGACTTGTCCAGGGTCGCACAGCTAGTAAGTGTTATGTGTCTGAGGCCGCATTTGAACTCAGTCCTCCTAAATCCAGGGCTGGTACACTATCCACTGAACCACCTAGCTGCCCCTGTATACCTACTTTATATACCTATAAACCCAGTGTCTCATAAAAATTTCTCAGGAAAAAAGGGGTTGCAAGTGAAACAAGTTTAAAAAGCCCTGATCTAAACCAACCTGCTAATTCCACAATGGAAAGAACTGAGTCCCAGAGAGCCACTGGGGTCTTCATCAGTCCACTGTCCACAAGCAGCCAAGTTTAGTTGATTAGAACCTAAAGTTGACAACCTAAAGCATGCCACTTCCCTGCTCAAGTATACAATTGGAAACGTGATGTAAAAGTAAAAGACAACAATAAACTTGTTTAAAAATTTAATAGGCCTGGCTTTTAGACAGGGGCAGACTCTGACCTTAATTTCACAAGTCAGCCCCAGTATAAATCATTGACAAGAAGGTGAGACATATTTTTAGAAATCTCCCCTCCCAATCCTACTGATGCTTCTAGCACCAAAGCTTGTTCAGACTGGAATATAGGAGGTGGACAGAAATGATACCAAATGGCTAAACAAACCTATTAGTGCCAAAATGCCCAGCTCCCTATCAAATCTTTCATTACACTGACAGAATATTTCCTAAAACTTGCAAAGTGGATGTCATATGCCTGATGTTTTAACACATAGCTCTCTATGTGCTCATTCAAAGATAATACTGCATATTTCTTTTATTTTCCTTGGGAAGTCAGAAATTGTAATCTGGGTCTTTTTCATAAAGGCACACCAACAATAGGCCATAAAAATCAGACCACCTACCATTATTCTTCTGCCAGCTAGCATTGTAGTAGTTCCAGCCTGGTTTCCAAAGGCATATTAGAGGCTGGGACTCATATCCAGCTGAAATCCATCAGCCAAAATGACAAGCTTCATCCTAAAAAGTGGGTTAGATTGCCAAATCCAAATGGATAATTTTCTCCTAAGTAGGACACCTATTTGTGAAGAGCATACCGTCCACTATCTCCTCCTGTATTCTTTCAACAAAATGGAAACCAAACATCTCATAACATCACAGATTAGGAGCTGGCAGGGACCTCAAGGGCTTTCCATCTTAACCCTCTCGTTTTACAAATGAGGAAACTGAGGTGGAAGTTACTTTCCTAAGATCACACAGGTAATAAAGCATCAGAGGTGGGATCTGAATGCAGTAGGGGCGCCTCTGACTCCTAAGCAAATCCTCCTTCCAGTTCACTATCTTGTCTCCAAGATACCCACACAGATACTCATTAAAGGACCCCAAAGTCTGGGTCAGTGAGGCCAAGCCATGCATTCATACCTCTCCTAATGTTTCCCTTGCTCTATTCTCATTTACAAACTCCATGCTACCTGAAAAATATCCTAGCCAAGTCCTTAAGGCTACACCAGCAACCTTTCCTCAGTATGGTCCTGATAAACACTTTGACAGCTTAAGCCCTGGGAGGAAGTCTGTTCCTGAGCTATTTCCACAACCCCAGTGCAACAGAAGGATTGTAAGGGAATGGTTCCCACCCAGAAGGTGGTGTCACTGTGCTCCCTCGGCCTCCACCCTGGGACACATATCTCACTTTAGTCTCTACTGATACGTTGTGGCAAGAGGTTATATCATAGGAGATGGCACAGTAAAAGGTCATTACTCACCAGAGACCTGGGTTCCAATCCCATTGCCTATCTTTAT